ACTTGTTTGTGGCTGAAGGCCGACTCGGAGAATCCGAACGCCAGGTCGGGTTTAGGCTTCGGTAGAGGAAGTGGGCTCGCAAGCACATCCGCATCCAGTGGTATTGGCACAGCGTTGGACCACCACTGATTGGCACTACTGGCCAGCCTGTGGTCTGGCATCTTGTTCATAGCTGGTATGATACCTGGTGCCAATTGCTGTACGATTTCGTCCTCTCCCTCTTCTTGAAGTTGGCGTGATCTGTTCTGCAATTCTCTGATAGCATCGTCGTCCATCTCTGGTGAGGCTCGGGATCGAGATGTTATCCTCTGCGCCCGCCTCAGTAACTCGTGCGGTACATCCTCACGCTCGATGAAGATATTGCGAAGCCGCAAGGACTTTCGATAATCCGTGTCATGTACACTGGCAGTTGAGCGTTCAGACCTTCTGGATGTGGTCGTGCTTCCTGTAAAGCTATCTCGTGGAGAAGGCAGGGCTGCTTGCAGCTTTCTCGACATGTCAGGGAGGAACTCGTCAGGCTCGGATTTTACTATGCTCGACACGGAAGTTCTGTGGGCTCGCTGGCCGTTTTCCAACCAGTCTTCAATGTATTCTTCTTTTTCAAATGATACGGCTGAACACTTTTGTCGTTCGCCGTCTTTCCTCCTCCGTTTCGCAACGGAAGCCTGTTCGCTCCAATGGTCGAACTGACGTCGTCGCTTGCCGTTTGTGTCGTTGGTCTCTCCAGTATCTGGTGGTGTCAGAGTATCTTGACCAGCTATTGTACAGTCAGCACACTCAGTGACTGGTACTTCATCAGGTAGACTGACGACGTAAACCCTGTTTCGGAGGTTGTTCTTTCTGTCCCTCTGTAAAGCCCGGTGTTCGTGACTGCCTCACTCTGGCTTTGCTCAAAGGTTTGCAACTGGAACTGCGTGTTACAGTACGCGCTGACTGAGATTGTCCTTTTTGGACGTGATTGCGTGCCAAACCACCTGAATGGTCCTGTTAGTCCCTTCTTGACCACAGTTGCAGATGGGCTGCTCACCGAGTTGTTGGAGTCGTGGACTCTTACGCCGTGGTCGAACGAGGCTGTGGTCGTCCTCCAGCTCAGAAGCACATCGTTTCTTGGCTATAGCGTTTATTGTAGATCGCATGAGGAAATCACTTGGTACCAAGGTCGAAGAATGACGAATGTCAGAGGATAGACAACCGGCCTGGTTGCGACCACGTTTTGTACTTCGCACGTTTTGCAGTGCGACATTCGACGCCATCTCGAAGCATGAGCCAATGACACAACATGCGTGGTCCGAAAGGGCAAGGGCAGAAGGAGGAGCAGGAGGAGTGGATCGTAACAAGCGTGGCTACGAAAGAGTCGACCCTTTTGGTGGCCGAAACTGTCGAAGGGACAGCCACAAGCGCAGCGCAGGTGAAATTGGAGAAGCTCCATGGTGTTGGGCATCTGACTAGTGCAGGCAGCAACCGCGGATTCTTATTAGCGGCAGCGACCCCGCACTCCCCGTTCAGTCACCTCGCGCGTGATCCATAAAGCGAACGAGCTTTGAGGTTATCGAGAAAGTTGACCATTCAGGGCCGTAATTGATGTGCCCACTCACAAAGAAACTATGCTTGTTCGGATATGACGCTGCTCGGAAAGAATCCATGAAGCTGATCGACAAGGACACCAATTCGGTGGTTCATAGAGGGCACAAGAGTTTCTTGACCGTACGCTGAAGTCACCCACCAGCGATTGACACTTTCATGCTGAAAGGGTTCGAGGTAAGCTTAAAGGTGGATGCTCCCTCGAAGCTCTTTGTGCCAACCTTCTCAACGTCAAAATTTAGCAAGACGAGGATTACACTACTTTTAAGACGCTGTTGCTTGCCAAGAGTGGATTCATCATCGGACAAGACTATACAGGTTTCCAGCTGGAAGGTCGAGACCATGAAGCCGTCTCTTGGTTGCCACACTTGTATCAACCTTTTCATTGTCCACTAAGATGGTAGAAACCGCAATGTGAACGCCTTCCGTCTTCATGCTTCCGATCTATTGTCAACGAGGTAAGGTCGTCCTTTGTCCGAAAGTTCCTAATGATGTCGATGTAGACGACGATTGGAAAGGAGGTTGGGCAAGATATAGAATCTCCTTGTCCACAGTACAGGCTTCGTCTTTTCCGGAGCGTGGCACTTAACTCTGCACCGATGCTGACGTAAATTGTCAAGGTGAGCGAATCGGTCGACGAAGTCAGAAGAAGGCTAGATGATAAGAACAGGGACGTTCGAGTCCTTCACCACCGAAGACTTCATGCTAAAACATTATGAGGCTCGATCTAATACTAGACGTGATACAGTCTAGCAACAGGCATCAGCATAAAACAACCCACATAGACGACAGACCATACTGGTCACGTGGAGCAAGAGCCTCATAACAAATCTGGAGGACAATTTGGCTCTGCTTCGTGATGTGACAAATCAGTTTCGCTAAAGGTAGTATTAGAGAGTAATATCAAATCGTCTTTATCGACAACGGCCTGCCGCACTCGATCAGCTGTCAACGTGGTAGCTATATCACCTGTGACGGACATCGAACGAGTTGAGAGAGTATGTTATCGTCGACGACAGTCTTTTCACAAGACTGAAATCGAACCGAAGATGTGCGCCTGACTCGAGACAATTCTCCGACTGGTCATCTGTCCTTCCCAGCTACCTCGTAAGACTAGCGAACAAGAGCATCACAAGTCCTCCTCGTCAAAATCATCGAATGGCCAGTGCTTCAAAGTCATCTCCTTCTCCTCTTCGGTATCTAGACTCTCCAGCCCCTGCCTTTTGATCAATCTTGCGTGTTCTACGGCATTGTCATATTCCTCGTTGGACGTCCATCCGTCGACGGTGATCCCTATAGCATCTCGAACGTCGCTTAGTTGCGTGTCAGTGTCCTCCTGCTGTCCAAGAATACCAATAGTTTTTTGCACGTCGGCTTCAGTAAATGATATTGGACAGGAAGGCAAAGTTTCTTGATCGTACCCATTGTCTTCCAAAAGCTCTCGCCAGACTTGTGTAATGTGTATAAGATCTGACTTCAAGGGGATGTTATTCCCTTCCCAAGGCTCACCGGCATGATTGACAAGTTTCCGCGTTAGAAGATCCGTCCGTCGGTTGAGAGCTTCGAAATGGGCAGGATGAAATCGTTGTGTGAAGCCTAGGTAGAAGAAATGAAGGTGGCGTCGTCTAAATCGTTCCAAGACCTCAGCTTGTTCCTCGTTGTCCATTTCGGCCAGATTTGAAGGCAGTTGGGGTGGGATAAATTGCAATGATTCTTCGTCATGATAGTTCTGGAAATATTTTGGAATGCCAGCGGCTAGGAATTGGGGAAGGACCGAGCAGTGCTGCCAGTCGATCATTCCAACAATGTCAAAATTCTCAGAGACGAAGATGTTGTTTGGTTGGAGATCAGGATGGCGCAGGACTGGTTTGTGAAACCGAGCCTCTTGTGGCACGAGATACGAGGCTATCTTCAGATACTTCTTCAAGTTGTCAGCGTGTTCTTCTGGAGAAGATCTTTCGTAATTCATACATTCGCGATACGCTCGCTCGAATGGGAGACAGGGTCGTCCGAACGCTTTCATCCATGCCAACTCTTTCTCAGCAACACGCGAAAGCAACTGGAGCGGAGAAGAGTCCGTAATATCAGTCAGCAAGCGACAAAGAGACAGGAAGGGAGGGAGAAACAGAGTACCTACGAGGACCACGTTGCACGTCAAGTGATTCACGCTCCTTGTACCACCATCTCAAGCTGACATCAGGGCCGACACACAACCCTTTGTCGTTAGAGGCGGATGCAAACATGGTGTAAGACACATCAGCTGGAAGATCGTGCTTGTAGTAAATGCTGCCGTACGCCGGCAGGTCTATCTTGGAAAGGTTGACTTCTATTCGCACAACCTCGGAGATAACCTTGAGGCGCTGGTCCTCGGACAAGCTGAACCATTGATCCCCAAGAGGACGCCCAGGTAGTTTCTCCATAATGATGAACTCTGCCCCGACAGGGTTCTCAGCGTCTGGCGAATAATGTAAGACTTTTGGTACAGGTATACCATGAGATCGGACGAGCTCTAAAGTTGCAACTTCGCTAGCTACAGCGAATCGTTTGGGCTTTGTTGAGGGATACGGAAGGCGAGCAAGTACCTCGGTACCATCTCTCATCGTGAGTTGAAACACGCGATTGAAGCCACCTTCCGCGAGCTTGACAACTTCTCTTACTTCAGACTCTGCTTGATTGAGGCACTTAGCGACGGCCTTTTTGAGCTCGTCAACATTGAAGACAACCCTTCGTTCAGCGAGGCGAGTGGACTCATTGTACCTGCAAGACATTGAGTCACACGATGACTTCGCCAAAATATAGGGAATACTTACAACCATCTGCCGGATGTGTATTCAAAAAGCTCGGGACCATAGACCATCGCGCGGCTGCCTGCTCTCAAGTGGAAAAATGAGCAAAATGGGGCCACCGACCAGGACCTTTTTACTGGAAGAATATGTCGCCCTCGACGACTGCGACCCAGCAAAGAGAAGAACATTGATCTAAGTCGTGAAGTCCATTTATCTATAGTTTCCGAGTCCAATGATGACGACCGTGGACTTCAAGCCTGTCGAAAGAAGGTAGCTTGGTTGTCGTCCATATCCTGGCATCCGGCAGATTCGCGGAGATGCCTCGCCAAGGACGTTTCCTCTTTCTGGTGTCGATCGACAAGAGTGCTCATCGCTCATACTCTTTGTCGTTTAGGTGGAAAGGAACACCGCTAAACGGTCATTTCCTGGGCCAACCAGTAGGGTCAGCGGCTAACAATGCGCAACATGATACGTCAAAGGGGCAGCGACTGAGATGGTGAAACAACACGAACCCATGACATTGTGCCCGGCTGAATTTCGCCGAGTACAGATATACTGAATCATCCTGAGGACTACGCGCTGTGGCGGCAACGTCAGATCATAACAAAACAAGCCACTTCTCCAGTGCGGCGGTTAGCAGTGTGTGCCAGCGGCTAACATGGAATAATTCGAGAGAGCTTTCCTCTGCCACCGAATATGTATTTAAAGCTCAGGTATCACTCACTAGTCACTGATTTAGAAGTGGCAAGACATTATTTGGAAAACGAATTATTATTCCAGGCGTTCAAGTGCCCAGATCAACCTATCTGGAGAGCCTGATCGCATTCAGTGATCTGCCATCTTGCAGCAACCATTTCGGCACAGTCTGCCTGGACTCTTCAAAATTTCTCTTGGATGGTTCTTGTTGGCCTTCAGGCAACAGAGACGAGTGCATAACAGTATGAAGGCTCTTAAAAACCTTAGTGTCCTTCCTAGTCTTTGCGTGGAATCTCGAAGGCTAAAGTCGCGTACAAGTTTTTCGGGCTAAAGTTCCGCTCCAACCAGGCCAGCAGGAAAACAACGTGCATATAGATGTGATAGATATGTAATCTGAATATTCTCGCCTAAGAGGTGCCAACGCCATGAAACCCACACCAGAGACCATAAGACGCAAGTACGACAACAACACGATCGATGATCCACCGCAATCAACATTGTCTCGAAGATCATCCAAAGTTACAGCACTCTTCATATGTCAAGCAGTTGTTGTTATCCTCTAGTGTGAAATCAACACATGATTCGTCCGCGAGGCACACATAGGCACAGTCAACTTCACTCCCAACTAATGTGCATTTAGAACTGCTGGTAAGGCATGTTCCAGCGCCACAGCTCAATTCTTGCGTACGGGTAGCCGTACATTGAGGAACCGATGAGGTCGTAATCGTGGTCGTGGTCGTTGAAAGGGTGTACTCGGCTGAAAGAATTGTTCAGCATAATCGTAGCTCGAAGCAGGATCGCATTCAGACCTAAGGCTCAGGTGCGGTTCTAAGCATCCGACAAAGTTGACTGCTTTGGCAGCCTCATCGCGATCGATTTACGTGGTCGTGCCTGAGTCTGTGCCTGTTGTTGCTAGCATCAGTTATCCTTGTCAGACACAACTGACCATCCAAGCTCTTGCATTAGCGCTTTTGCTGAGGCCATTGGGATCTGACCATGGGCTTCGATTCGGACGACGATTCTCTTGAGTGAGGAAATAGTTCTTAGCTGCGTGTCGATTTGTGGCAAAGCCTCTCGAAGGAACTCGTCTGTCCTGGTGAAGAAACTGGAATTCTTGTAGTGAACGACGGTCTCCAATGTTGATAGACTGGTGCAGTTGTGTTGCAGAAGCGTCAGACTTTGCATGCTGTCGTCCCTGAGCCTGATTTTTCCTGAATCTCCGTCAGTACTCTCAGCAACAGGGAAATTGATACATAAATGCGATACTAAAGCTGCGTTGATAGGTCCGATGCAGCTTAAGAAAGCTCGTAGGACACCAAATTGTTGCCGCGTGATATCCACAAAATGGAAATGGTTCATGCCATAGAGCACTACACTAGCTTCGCCATATATTTGTCGGTTCGTGTATAACATTGCAGGCCAATAAGATGGCCTGTCGGGCGCAAAGGTATCTACTGAGGTACCTGGTTCCTGAAAGAGATAGAGTGGATGCGGCACAACCAATACTCGTTCGTAAATGCTATTTCGGACCTCGATAGGCAAGCTGAAAAAGTTGACCATGGTTGAGCTTGCTGATTGTGGGGAATGAAAAGCTGTCGTCAATTCTTTGAATCTCCTCCTCTTCGGAATTCTGTGACAATAAAGCGATGTCGTCGATGTATGGAGTGAGGCTTGTTGATGTGCAAACAGACAGTTTGAGCTTTCGCCTGTTCAAGCAATGGGCACTCGCAAGTTGTGTTCCAGCCTAAATCCATGACAGGTAGTTTGGTCTGAGCATTTAGTTGTGTCATACGAGCACGTGTTAGTCGCAGATGGAGACTGAACCAAGGCGCTACCAGATTTCACGAGTTCCGCATTTGGACCAAATAGGTGTTCAACGATACAGTTGGGCACGGTTTTTGCTTTGTTGCCAAGCACACAAGACTCAGTCAGGTTTTCGATTTGATGAGCACTTCAAGGCTGTATCACAATGAGAGCTAAATTTAGTCCCAGCGACAAATCAATGTGGAAGGCAGAGGATGTGGTCTTGCTCACTTGTCTGTCGCGGCTCGTCTTACGACTGCGTGTTACGGTAAGCGCCTGCAATAATTCCTCCCAAATCAGATTCGATAGGATGTGGGGTGCTACGCGGTGTGTCCATTTTGATGGCTAGCATGATAACCCGTCACAAGGATAAGAGATTGGATAACTATTTACTGTCCCGCACGGTCTGCGCAGTGATCCCAAACATTCGTGCACAGCCTCATCTTCAAAAGACCAAAAATTCCCTATGGTGATGGCAGATTCGCCCATCAAAAGTGCAAACCTTCGAATCGGAATTTCAACTCGCCTGGATCGTTTCCGTCGCAGGTTCCAGCGTCATTCAAATAACAACAATGCGCAATCGCTACGAGAGACCGACACAATTTCAAGCAGTGTGTGAGTGTAATACCTCAATCGGTGAACCTTGTTGATTAAGCCAGCAATGGCGGCTCACCTGTGCCATCCACTCAGGTGGACGCCGGAATCGTGCGGTCACTGGCCAATATGAATGATCCAGCCTATACCCAAACAAATCAGAACACGATCTCTGTAGATCAGCCCATACGAATTGCTGTCGATTCGGCTTTTCGTCGTGGTGACATCCAGACAGCGACTATGCCTCCGGATCTTTGGAGCGCAGCTTATCGTGAAGCTGTTGAGAGTCTCGGGGAGGATATAGACGTTGCGATTCTCAAAGGCAGTAACGCCGCCCAGCTATTCAAACAGCTCGAGGAAGTCGACAAGGATGTAATTCAGGAGTCGGCCTTTCTCCGTGGGGTGGCATTTTTGCGGTCCATCCAAGTACCGCTCGAAAGATTCAAGCTAGCGCTGGATCTAGCATCCCCAGTGAGCAATCTTGAACCAGCTGCAGCTACTGTCTTTGGTGTGGTCAAAAGTGTGACAGCGGTAAGCCTGTCCAAATGAGTTCTTTGTCTTAGAGACGACCACTGCATTATGCTACTAACTTTCCTGGACACAGATTGCTATAACATTCGCGAGCGCGGACTTGGAGTTTGCTAAGCAGATTGGCGAAATGCTAGAACAACTTTCATATATCGACGACTGCGACACGCTTGGTCAAAGAGCGAATAGGCAAGACATTCACAAAGTATGCCTCCGTCGACTTTTTCATTCAAGTCTAATCATTGGTAGGCACTCGTCTCCGTGTATCAGAAGGTCTTAGAGTTCTACCAAGCCGCACACGAGATTCTCACGAGAAGGGGAGCAAAACTGGTGATGACAATGGTTCTAGAGACGGATCGTCTACCAAATGTTGTTCACGACTTCTTGAGACATGCCGATACTCTTCGGAAACTTATTGAAAAAGCGACATGGGAGGTCACTGAGGACATCAAGGGTATGCTCTATGACCAAGAAAGTAAGTTCTTATACAGTCATTCATGGTGGCTGCGTACTTATGCGATAAAAGTCGACAGGTGGCTTGGCTGTAGCAAGGTGAGTCTGCAAACCCAGTACCATGCAGACTTGCAAGAGCTTCGGACCGATGAGGCATGTACATTTCTACTCATGCACCCTGACTTCAGAAAATGGTATGGTGCCTGCGACTCCGAGTGGCTCGTGATTTTTGGTGAGATGGGTAGTGGGAAAACGAACGCAATGGCATTCATTGTTGATGAGCTAAGTCAAAGAAACGAACACCAATTACCCCAACCGAAGATATGCTATCACTACTGCCGGAACGATGAAACTGGACAGGTGGGTTATATATTCGCTGCACTAATACTAGCACTGCTTGAACAGCTCCCTGGCCTGAAAAAGACGTTCCATGCATGGTACAAAGAGAAGCAGGCTTCAGGCGTTCCAGACCCAGTAAAAAATACGAGAGAACTAGGAAGATTTTTTAAGAACGTAACAGAGACTCTGGATCGACCACTTTTTATCGTTGTCGATGGCTTAGATGAGTGTGACAGGGCGTCGCGAGAGACCCTTCTCAAGTCATTGAGAACATTGTCACAGAAAACCCCGAGGCTCAAGATTTTACTCTCATCTCGTCCTGAAAGAGGGATTCTAGAGCATCTGGCTGACATACCTAGAATTAATATGAGTTCGGACGAGCAGAGAGACGCCACTATTGTCCGACATTCAGTGGATAGTCAGTTATCCTATCTATCAGAAGATGTTAGGGCACTCGTCGTGAAAAGGCTGTCCAGCTCGGCACAGGGAAGCGCGATATGGACAAAGATGATGGTCGAACTCATTGGGATTCGTCGAATCGAAGCGTTTGAACCCATGCGACGTTTTCTGAAGGAGATGCCTTTGCCTGACCAGCTTTCTGAGCTCTACATCTCCATGGTTGCGCGATATTGTTCAGATGATTCCGAGAACAAGAAGCTTGTCGCAATAGCTCTGAAAGTCCTCACTGCTGCGTGCAGACCCCTTAGCATCCAAGAACTTGCCTGGGCTGTGGCGTTAGCTGCGGGTCGACATGAGGTCAGTACTATCGCTGATCTTGCCCAGCTGGTAGATCATCAGAGAGTAATGAGTCTGATCCATCCATTTATTGCTCGTACCGATCTCAATGATCTGAGAAAGCGTCAAATCCGCCTTGTTCACCAGTCAGTGAAGGAATTTGTCATACGGGATTGGCCTCTTCTGGAGAAATCGGCGACACCAACAGCGCTTACTTCTATGAACGCAGATCATCAAATCGAAATGTTAGAATCTTTCCTTCTGGACATTTGTATTGACTATTTGCTATTAGATGAGGTTGGTAGCTTCCAGCTATTTTCGGATGCGCAAATTGCAATTGACGAGCTGCCTCAAGAAGCCGACCTGTTCGAGAACACAGAGTCAGCCGAGTACGATCCATCTTGCACGTGGGAGGCATGGGAAGAAAACATGGTGCGCTACGACCCAGCCGAGCGTGGCTTTGGTCACTTCTTCGTGTATGCGGCAAGTCAATGGCTTCGACATTTGAGCTCTGTACGAAGCGGAAGTCTGCCACAGCTCACGAAGATAGAGAGCCTATGTCAGGCAGGCTCGATTCGACTTCACAACTGGATCAGACAAAACTGTCGTCCAGACTGCGCGATCAAGGCCAGATTTGAATTCGACAGTCATTTGTACGATCCACTCAGTATTGCTTCACTTTACGGTTCAGATGCCATGCTCTGCGATATGCTTGAGAACTCGAACTTCGACAAGGACAACTTTCTGCCCTTACCAGCTATTGCTGCTGCTGACCAAATTCTACAATGGGGTAATCTTTCCAGGCTGAGAACGCTCTTTCTGGAGTACAAGTTCGTCCATCAGCTCCACAACCTTGATTTCTTCCGACTTATCACAAGGCGATGGTCAGAAATTGGCGCACGCCATAATGACTGGAACGTGGCTTTTGATCTTGTTGATATTGTGTCGAGTAGGCTTGTACAGGAAAAATGGGGCAGTGAGCTCTTGTGTATGGCCGCTCGTGCTGGCTGTATGCCTCTAATTCAGCATCTACTGAATGCAGCCCAACATGATTCAGAGCTGAAGGCTGAACTGCTACGTGGCTCTCAGTCGATTGCGGACGCTGTTTTGGGTGACCATGTCCATGTGGTACAGTGCTTGCTAGAGCAGGAAGGCTTCGAAGCACACCTTGGCTACCTGAACAATCGCGGCGAAAACGTCCTTCATCTGGCGTCAAAAAACTGCAACCCCTCAATATTGCGCATCCTGGTTCCACATTTTCGAAAGCGTATGGATCAGACCGATGGTCAGGGACAGACAGCTCTATTGCGAGTCATCAAGAGCAACTCTGGGACACGACACCGATACGAATCAGCGAAGTTACTACTGCTATCGCAGACCAGCGCTGATAGTGTCGATCCCTCTCAGAACGAGCAGCATGGTCCATTGCGGTTAGCTGTGCAGCTAGGCGATATAGATATGTGTCGCCTCTTGATTTATGACGGCAGATTCAATCCAAACTCTGCCTTAACACGTGGCAACGACGGGTTAATGGTGCTGAAGGACAAGCCTCGGATCAATGGCGAAGCCATACTGCGGTTGCTACAAAAGCCAGCTCAATCAATGGAGTGACCGAAAATTGCAAGAATATTTGCAACGGAGCGGAGTCATTCACGAAAGTCGGAACACACCACTTGGCCGTGGCATGCACTAAGTTCAGTCCTAACTACAGGATGCAAATCCCTGTCAGTTCAACGAGATGTATGTTAACGAACCAGAGAGAAGGTTCTTCGTGCAAGATGACTGCTCTTATCTATAGTCTACAATATTGTCGTCTGCTGTACTCGTTTAACAACGACGTTATCTGCACGCCTTACTGTCCTACTAGATTTGCGACCATGGGAGAAATGACCGATAGTCGTTTCGAATCTCTGTTCGTCGAAGACCACTCTGGCTTGCCTCACCTTGTTGGTCACTTCAGTCACCCGTCTGATTTCTGCTCACAGAACCCAAAGGACCTAATATGATCAACAAAAGTAATATGGTTGGCGGAGGATGGACCAGGTCGGGAGTATGTTCGAGACTCGTGACACCAACTTGCGCAGCGGGGCACGACTCTGCCGTTGAGGTCCGTGAGGAAGAGTTGTGCAGCCCCTTGCAGTCCTGTCGTAAAAAAAAGGTGTCGGCCTTCACATCAGGCAGAAGGCTAACGGAGTTGTATGAACTCAGCTATTGCAGCACCGAATGGTTCGATGCTCAACACCCTGTGAGCGAGCAGAATCCAATGACATACAGGCATGGTGAAGCTGAGGAATCTTTGAGCCTCGCATTATGGTTTAGCGAATCACATCCGCATGTGTTAATTTTTCGCTGTAAGATCATGATGCTCAGAATGCATTTTCATGAGCTCCCATTTTAGCTAATGCACATATGCCTATCCATCTAATATGATACTCACTGTAATAGAGCCAGCTTCAACTTAATCCTCTCCGTACTTCTCTTTCTTGCTGTAACGTCCAAAAATCAGTGGCTCAGCTCGTATTCTGATATGCCTTAGGAGGCCGCTGAACCCGCGGGATATCTGAGCTTTCAGCTTCTTCTAGGCAAATAGGACCATCGTGAATAAGCTCTGCTTGATAATTTGGATGTGGCGTGTTACGTCGAGAAGGCAGTAAGTTACTTGCAAGCCAACTTTTTGCTGACATCCATAGAGATACTTTCAAGTCCTCACATAAATATAACAAAGCGTCCTCGATTGATAGTTTTTTGGAAAGTTCTGAATGCTTCCAACCAAACATTCTGCAAGTGAGTTGTGAAGCATCTAAGAACTCATTGGAACTGTATAGTGATGCTTCCGTTGACAATTCTGCTACTATCGGTGACATTGGACGATAGCATCTTCTCGCTGTTGCTATTTTCCCCCAGATGACGTTTATTCTTTTGAGCCCCTCCACAGACGAACAGATGAACAAGTAGCGCTCGTATTCAACGAAGCGCTCGTGGTCGAGAATGTTACTCGGGTTCAACTCGCGGATTTGGACAGTTAGTCCATCACGTCTCGTGTATATTAGATTCCCATCTTCATCGTAGGTCGTCGCAAGCTGTCTATATAAGCTAGAGATCGTGCTGGATTGAAAAGCTTACTTGTGAACTGAAAGCCTTCTCAGTGGTGTCACAAATGACCACCGACGGAAGCCATATCATCGTGCCTACTATCCTGCCAGTTTCTGAAACGGATTGCGAGGAATTGAGGTCGCAAAGGGTCAAATCAAGCCTCACGGCTAATTGTGCTCGATATGAGCTCGTACGAAAAAGGGACATTGCACCAGTATATACCTTGACCGACCCTAATTGTAATTGCTAGCTTGTCTCGCGAAAGCTAAGCACGTACCTATGTTTCCCGTACTGGGTCCTATTCTCGCTCTCTACCGTTCTCAAAAGTGCAACCGACACTTAGGTAGTCTGAGGGTTCGAGGCTTCCTGAATACAAAATGTGTGCACTAGAATGCTTACTAGCAATCTGAAATGACGAAATATCATCTTGTCAAAGGCCATCAACGTCTTTTTCGACGCTAATTATTCAAGTGCTTCACCTAGGTCAGACAGAATGGTTCATGGTCTTAGAGATAAAGAATGACAAAAGGGTTCAGATTTGTCAATCATTTGTGTGAAATTTGACACAACAACCGTAGCTCAAATCGGCTCTGAGGTACACGTGAGGAGGAGAAAAGCATCACATGACTGAACCAGAACTTGTGAGGCAATTTGCCCCGCAGCCTTGCAAAATCAGTCATTGGGCATCAGTAAATACGAGACATCCGACTTCACTAGCAGTGTCCGATATCGTGCCTTGCACTATACACGTATCATAATGATTATAAACTCGAGAACCCTTTACGCTGCTCAATACCGAGAGCTCCACTACCATGACGACGAGGAAAATCAGATTTCAGGACGCATCTGACGATGATCTAATTGAGAGGTGCAGGAAGGAAGTAATACAAGGTGGCTCCGTCGCTCAAAGCTGTACTGATTGTCGCAGACAGGATCCAAAAATCCGGGGACTCCGATCTGGGAAACTACTACAACTCCCAAAATTAAAAGTAGCTTTCCAGAAACCACCATCGCAATCGTGGTAGATGTCAGACATCAAGTTGGCGCCTTGAGCATATTCGACGACGAGACCGGAAAATATCTTGATGGAGTGGGAACTGAAGAGAAGGGCAAGATGGTTCTGATACCCTGGAACAATTGCTGGAACTATGACACAGTCGGAACAATCAGACTGGGGTACATCCTCCAGCGCTCCATTCCAAGCTGAGGTCGTGCTTCAACATACGATCTTGCCAATTCCCGTGGAATAGAGATGGTAACAAAAGGTGTTGCGCTGCTGTTGTACGGATATGTCAACCACATAGGCCCGACAACATATTGCGACTGTAAAATAGTCTGGGTATCTTCCGCACTGAGGCTACACGCGTAGCCGGTCAGCATTTCTACAAAACTGTTTAGCATAGTATGCGATTAGGCTTTTGACATACCTGAGTCTAAGGCCGGACCGACGGAACTCGCTACCGCTGGGTGGCTACCATGAACCTCAGCTCGTGTAGAAGCAGCCTGAGCAGGCATCTCCCGAGTGCTACTTCCAGCGTCATCCTGCTCCTCACAGACCATCACTTTAGCCTTGTTGACAAGATTTTCGAGCGTAGGATTCTCCCATGTCGACCTGTGATTCTTAATGTCGAATGGTAGATCAACCCGGACTCTCTCTCTCATGCCTTTTATGGCTGTACGGCCTAGGGCTACCGAACAAAGCAGCGCCATTTGAAGACCTGCTTCAGCAGATACCTTGCGTAAGAATTGTTCGTAGACATCGCCCGGTTGTGCCTCAATAACGGCAGCAACGAATTCTTTGATACGCTTAGATTCTGACTGCTTCAATTCACCTCGACGCTGGATGGTGATGACAGCATCCGCCAGTCTCGTCGAAGCGTCTTGGACAGTCAATGAACGCAATTGAGACTTCGCCATATCTGCAACAAAAGTGCAGCTACAAAGAAGTAAACGTGGGTTGGATTAATAGCCAAAGCTACTGTATAAGTGTGTAGATTTGATACAAATTTGTGTCAAGTTTGGTTCGCGCTAAGCATGAAGCGTCCAATCATAACAAAGCCTCCAATGCAGATTACGAACAGGAATAATTGCAGTATCACCTCAAGCGCCGGCAGTTCGCTTCCACCAACATAATTGGACATCATTGAGAGGTTCAGATGTCGTCGAAATCTAAAACAGTTTAGCTCTTGTATGAGTAGTCTAATACCAGGGGGTCTGTACATATCGAAAGGCTGAATTGCGATCTCGATAAGCATACCAGTCTTTCCGTGCAATGGTGATTGCATGACAGTGAAGTGCCGTGGGGCCCATGCACTACCTCAATATGTTCGGCTTGGTGGAGTCGCAGGCTTCTGCCAAAACTCACCAGGTACAACAATCTCCAGCAAGAAGACTAGACTATGCACGATGCAGAGAGATCTTGCATCAGCTACGACAGTACTGCAAAGGGATACTGTGACAACGTGTACGCCTGTGCCAGTGGGAAAAGACCTTAACGAAGATGATGGCTCGAGCTATAAAATCGACCAAAGTCATTCAGAGTAGCACGACCGTCCAGCAAACTACGGGACCATAGCATTCTCTGTTCTTATGACCATGCCATTCCAAGCCAACGACAAAGACAAAGCTGGCTCAGCAGCTGCCCCTACTTCTCAGCAAGAGACTTCGTCTGATTCTGAGAGTGAGTCAAGTCAGGATGAGGTCTCGCCAACACATTCAGATTCACAGTTCTCAGCTCAGGATGCAAAATTGGTCAGGCTGCTCCGACGCGCAGTCAAATGTGTCAATGATACGACCGCTGCTGCTGCCCCTGTACCCTCTAAGAAGGCGATGAAACCAGCCCGGGGTTCTCGACTGGAACTCAAGGAGGTGTACGAAGCGTGAGTGCTGCCCATTGATCGTCCATGGCCACCATGCTGTGCTAACCACGTCTGCTGCTAGCTGGGACCCTAAGACCTTTGCCTACAAACTCACCGAGCCTCCTAATCCATCGTCCATCACCGAGCTGAAGACCTACGCCTTTGTCTGTCGTGTCCGCATTTGTAAGTATCTGGTCAACGTGTTCGTAAAGAACGTGTCTGACAACTTTGTAGTGAACAAAGATGAGCAGCGAGTGTACTATGTGGATGTTCACGCTGCTGGACTGCGCGACATGCTCCGCGAGGTCCTCGAGGACGTCCATTGGCTCAGCCTGAAGGATGAGAAGTTGGAGGTACGTATACCAAGAAGATGCGAGTGCCGTCCACTGAACACCCATGACCAGCTCGAGCAGAATCTGCTGTATCACTACCTGCCGACCTTGCAGACCTACCTCGACAAGTGCACCCAGGATAAGACCTGGCCGCAGGTAGATCGCGAAGCCCTTAGATATCTGCTGTCCACCATGAAGACGCGGACAGCTGACACCACAGCACGACTCCAGTCCTTACTCGAGACGGGCAAGATCACCTACGAGCTTCTGTGGGCACTGTTCCCACCCAATACGCTCGTGCTCGCCATGTGCCCGGGCAGTAAGCAAGTACGGTGTCTGCGCTTCCAATTGGCCTACAAGGACAAGACTGCACAAGGCGTGGAACACTTGGTCTTGCAGTGCGAGTACGTCGACTACGATGGGAAGATTCTTGGTTGGGTCATCGAGCACCTGCGTCTGGACCGGTTCCATGGTGCCGCCCTGATTACCTCCCTCCCGATTTACCCTATCGACCACTACCCGGATCGACAGATTAGCCAAGTACTGATCCGCCGTGGCCGACGTTTCATCGAGCTGATGGGCAGTCATCACGGCGTGTATCGTGGCACCGCCTTCTTACAGGTCAAGGACGAGTACAAACGCCTAGCCATTCAGTCCGAGATCATGGTCGACGCCAACGAGTTTAGCAAGGTCTACCCCGGCTATGCTCGCCTCATGAGCCGATGGGTGGAAGCGGAATACATATTTCCTCATGTCACCCAGTCACATCGGGTCATGGATCGCAGTCTCGATTCCACAGCCTTAACGGACGAAGAGCTCATGGTGTGTCCGCCGACGGTACTCGGATGTAGTCTACGGTTGAAGTTTTGGGGTTGGTCAGCCTTGCTTGCTTGAGTACGTAACAAATACTGACCGTTTAACATCCAGGCGAGTTTGTCGTCAACCACATACATCCTGTCCAGTGGCCTTCTGATTCGTTTGAACAAGTTGCCATTCCAGACGACATCAAGACCACTCTGCTGAGCCTGACTCAGGAGTACTTCACTTCACCTCGAGGTGGGCCAGCTGCAGAGATAGGCACAGTCCGTCGTGGTAACCGCATTTTGCTGCAGTAAGTCTTTTTCTCTTTTTGGTTTCCTTCACATTGATGGGTCATTGGTATCCTGTCACTCCACCACTTTGCTAATCAGCGACATTGCGATCTGATATGCTATCCAGCTCTCCTTGCTGTTGTCCTGCTTGGTCTATATGCGACTGCTCTTGTCTCACGGCTGAATGACTGATTGATCATGTCTAGCGGACCTCCAGGAGTGGGAAAGACCCTTACCGCTCAAGCTCTCGCCCTTCATTATCGACGACCCTTGTACTCGGTAAGTGCGACCATCGTCACTCAGACCACGCTATACTGACGCAAGTAGATTTCAAGCGCAGATATAAGCTCGGATGCTCGTGAGCTGGACATGCAATTGCCCCAATTCTTCCAAGCGGCTGTCGCATGGAATGCGGTGCTGTTGATGGATGAAGCGGATATTTTCCTCCAGGCACGGAGTCCGGTCACGCTCGAACGGAACCGACTGGTTGGCATTTTCCTGCAGCAGTTGGAATACTTTCCAGGGATTATGATTCTCACCACGAATCGTATAGATGACATGGACTCGGCCATCTTGGATCGCATACTCTTGAAGATCCTCTACCTCCCACTGACCCCAGATGCGAAGCGTGGTGTGCTCCAGAACTTGCTCAAGACCATTTCTGACATCACGGCAGAGCAAATGGAAAGCTTTGACGAAGTCTTCCTCCGGCGATTTGCGAGAATCAAGGTCAACGGCCGCCAAGTAAGTCTCTGTCGAGCTATTGCTACTTTTATGTGACTGACTTATCACAGATCTCCAACGTGTTCGAAGTGGCTAAAACGATCGCAAAGGCCTCAGATGATGCCTTCGATTGTCGCCACCTGATGAAAGCACTGAAAGTCAACGGGCTAGTCCTTCCAGAGGAGAACTCTGAGGCAGACTTGTATGACTACTGAGTTTAGCCTTGTATAGTAGTGGTAGTAGAAAAGCATACGCTAACAAAAGACATCGAGATCTTGGAAATGTAGTGTTCACCGCATTTGGCAGGGATGAAAAATCGTCAAGGCAAAAGTCCTTTGTTCGTTTCTACATGATATGACGGTAGTGTAGGTCCTCACATCAGTGTGACGGTATCTCTAGAGAGTGAGGAATCTCAATTGTGGAAGGGACACATGTTTGACCCTGAATATTGACCTTCACGTGTGATCATGCTTGATGCAGCAGGTACATTCGAGTTGTGCTGGTGACGACAAAGTCTCGCCTGTGCATGAAGTCGGGACGGTGTCTGGTCAGAAGATAACGCTATTCAGTCGATACTTCCACAGCACACCGGGGATCGTGCTGTGCTGTGCTGTGCTGTGCTGTGCTGTGCTGGCGTGGTTATATTGGCGTTCAACCTGCCACTGAAAGCCGTGTTTGCTTTCACCTTTCATTCCATTCACCTCACAATGACCCGTCAATCTCGTACTGTAAGCGAATGTGCTGGATTAGAAGAAGAGCCGATCAGGAACAACGATGAGCAGCTGTCATTCGCACGCAGGGATATTGTCCACCAGCTCAAACCGCGAACGTCCATGATCACGCTCGCATTGAAACAAGAAGCCCAATCCTCAAAGCCGAATCAGTCTTCGCTCAAACAGGTAGCGATGCCAGACAATGACCAGCCGAACACAACAGACAGAAGTACGTCGATCGCTTCTGTCAATGCGGACACCAATACTGCTGACACCGCGAGTAACCTTGCAAAAAGCAAGAGACTTGGAAGGCTTGAGGCTGCTGTACCCATACTCAAGCGAAGTCGAATGATGACGATGCGGACTGAGCTGCCTGACGAGCTCCGGAAGATCCTGTATAATAGCAGGAAGAAGCATCTGCTCAAGTACGCCGACAAGATTGCAATGCAACTGCCGACAGACCAAGACACACCACCGTCGCACATAAACGACGAGTCCTATCAGAGCAGCTACCACACCAGAGGCTGGTAGTGGTGTTACTGAGGGTGGAAGTGGTGTCGATCTTATTGTTGCCGAGGGACAAATCGTCATTACTCCGATACACTGTTTAGTGCAGCTTGTACAAGCATCAACACACCCATTTACATGCATTATTTCCACATTGCTCAGTCTTCATGCAGTCTCCATTTCAGCTTCACCGTCACGGCAGTCAAGAGCACTGGCTCAATGCCGAACGACTAGAAGGTGGGATCTATCTCTAGATTGTCGTGGGCCAAATTGATGAAGTTCCTCCGCGAGTGCTTTCGACTCGATCCGCTTTATTGGATTACTTTCCAGTAGTCGATGGAGTAAGTGATATTGAGATGAGGTTTTTGTTTTCAAAGCTAGAATCTTCGCTAGCCAACTTGTCATCTTTGAAGCCTCTGCTTTGTCGATAAATATCTTCGATAAGGTCCAGGATTCTTCAGTAAGGTCTGGTAGTCGTATGAGCTTGAGACAGAAAAGTACAAGAACACCAAGTGACCAAACATCGCTGACCAACGGTCTTTGCCTGAGCTGGAATTCTGGTGCGACGTACCAGGGCGTTCCCCCTGCAGTGAAATGACCCTCAATCCTCTCGGTCGAAATACCGAAATCCACAAGGACAGTGCGACTTTCTTCGGGATCGTACATAGTATTTCCAGGTTTGAGATCGTTGTACAGAATCCCGTTGCTATGAATCCATGCGAGTCCTGCAGCGGCCCCTTGCCAGATCGCTAGAGAGTGCTCGTTGTTCAGAGTACAGACTTTACCTGAGTCCACAAATGCGTTGACACTCTGGCCCGAAATATACGGCAATACAATTTCTCGTCGAGCGGAGTTCGAGTCTAGAAGCTGCACGACGTTCTCCTGCGCACATTAGCCACGCAGATAGTAGTATTTCATGCGCATACATGACGAGGCAATAGTCTTAGAATCCTCACTTCTTGCAACCACATATCTGCTGCCTTGGGAATGGTAGGTCCACGGCATACCTTAACCACAACATCTATGCCATCCTTGAGTCGTCGTTCAATTCGCGAATTTTTGGCTGAGTGAAGGACATCGAGTACCATGCTTTCTGGTGGTGGTGGTGGCGGTGGCTGGTACACCTTTTGTGAAAGCGCCTCCGACTGACCCTTACTGGAAGCTTTCGGATCTTCTTTGTAAGAAGAACTCAGCTTCAATTGCTCTGGATACAGTGTGTGTCTTACTGCTCGCTTCTGTGACTGTACCGCGTTATCCGTTGAGGGTTTGTGTTTGTTGTGTACCTTCCCCCTTGACCGTTGGAGACCGTCGTTTTTGGTAGGTCTTCTGACAAGATTTTCTGTATACAATGCCTCCATTGCTAGAGAAGATGCAGGCTGTGCTAGCGGTGCAACCTCACAAGTGAAATCAAGCCCTTTACCAAGATTGACCTCCCATGTTCCGGCCGACATTGATACGCTCTCCCCATACGCAACTGTAGCAGTTTGCCTGCCTGGTCTGCTGTTTCTGACAGATTGCAACGACGTCGAACAGTTCTTGAGCCAGAGATCGGAAGAGTCCGGATCGAGATAGATTTTGCAATGCGCAAGATTGATATAGCATAAATCGCTTGTGGTAGAAGCGGGATCGTGTTGCAGTACGAAGTAACTTTCTAAAGCAGCTCCGAGGGTGAAGCAATGCAGGTCCTTGGTCTGCCGAAGTACAACAGTCGATGGTGGTGATGATGATAACGAAAAAAACATAGATTCGGACATATCATCGTGATCTTCCGTGTTATCATTGTTTTCGTCACCGTTTGGCGAAGGAAGGCGATTTTGAAACCTTTGTCGACGTGGTTCGATGATAGCAGCGTTATGTGGCAGATCGAAGGCATATTGGGCAGCAGCAGTGGAAGGGAACAAAAAGCCTCGAACAAAAAAATGATCAGTGGGAAGAGTGGTGTTCATCGTAGATTCTGTTAGATTCAATGAGCCAAGATTTCGGCACGCCGATCGTGAGGTCTTTTCATGAATTTATATTCCAATTGCAAAATTCCAGCTAATCCCCTATACAATGTTTGGCGCTTCCGCAAGCGCTACGTCGCTTCGAAATCGTCAGAAATCAGAGCATGCGTTGGCCGGGGCGACACCCACGCTACCGGAACATGGCTTAGTTCGAGACAGCCCCACAGCTACAGAAATGGCTTTTGATCACTTTGTGTTCTGCGTCCACATGGTTTGGGACACATTTATGTCTGCTACCCAACTACTCATTCCTTCTCCCACTTATGGCTTCCGGCCCTCCAACACCACCCCGAGAAGTTGACTTCTCTCGAACGTCGGCCACACAACCGGACGAGGTACTCGACTATCAGCGCAAGTGGTTGCAATCTCAAAATGTCGACATTGATCAGATCCTTGTGAATCACAATCGAGTGACGATTCCAGTCGAAGAAGACATTGTATTCGTGCACCGCCTCATGAACGCGACCGACAACATACCAACGTCAGAGATAGGCAAGGCAGTTGATAATTTTCTGGAGGCTTTTGAAGAGGAAACCAAACAATCAGACGAGGCTTCGACAGTAGCAGCTCTAGGACTTTACATGGATGTCCTCGATGACACTGCAGCGGATTGGATATCCTTTCTCAGAAGCCGATCAAAGAATTCAATAGACGCTATGATACACAGCGTTCTCCCCTCCCTGCTCACCCGGATCAGAAACATCGAGGTTTCTTCAATAGTCGCATGTGATGGGCAAGACATTCATCCTGGGCAGCAGGCAAACAGTACCGAGCGGCACCCGGTGACT